TCTATCTCTATTCACTACGGGTGAATGACGCATGGTAAAATTTGTTTGCTTTTTTATTTTCGTTTTTCGTTGATTCGGTCTTTTTTTGTTGTTTTGTTTTTTGTTGTTTTGCTTGTAATGTATTTTTGTCGGCAGTTTTGATCAAGACTTGATTGTGATTACACAACCAACCAAAACCGAACCGACCGAACGACCAAAAACCAAAACCGAATGACTATGGTAACACCATACACACACAAAAAAAGTAAAATCATCGATGATGATGTGAAAAACAAAAAAGTTTTTTCTTTTAAAATGAAAATTTTGCCTTTTGGTTGGTTTAGGGTTAATTTAAAATGATGAATATATTTTTTTTACACGGTGCCTTATTTGATCATTGATCTTTCGGTTTAATTTTTGGCTTCGTACAAAGTTTATTTTGCATATTAAAAAAAAACATTTTTTTAGAAAAAAAACCAAACAACCAAACAAACAATGGATACATCAAGATTATCAAATGATTCAAGAAGATATTCACAATCATCATCATCATCAACAACAGCAACATCAGCTATAACCGGTGTTAAAAGTAAATGGATTAAAGCATTTCGTTCATTAAAATTAACAGCAGTTGGTGGTGGTAGTGGTAGTGGTTCAAGGTAAGAAAAATAAACTCCTCTTTTTTTAACCCTCTCCCACCCACCCCCAAAAACTGATAATTATCCTTATCCCTTTTCATCATCATGGTTATAATCAGAGATACTTTCAATGTATGAACAAAAAAAACAGTCGAATGAAATTACCAAATTAAGATGTTAATTATAATTCGATGCATCATCACTGATTATCAGAAAAATAATGACGATGATGATCAGTTAATTAATCAGTTTTTTTTCATTAATTTGTTTTTTTCGAAAAAAAAGTTTTTTCCTTGAAACATTTTATCCGAAAATTCTGATAAACAGATTTTTTTTTTAAAGGAAAAAGATTTCAACAAAGAAGAAAGATTCGCCTAAGCAAATTTGATAATTTTTTTTCGACATTTGATATGAGAAAATTTCCAAAAAAAATTTTTTCCAATCAATTTTCTCTTCTTTCTGGGTTGCAGAATCAGCCACAGAATTATTCATTCAACCATATATTATTTGTTGAATAAAAAAAAATAAGATGCTATTCAAATAATAATGGCTTAATATTGAGAGAGAATTCGGTTCAATCGAAAGTCTATTAAGCGAAAACTGAATGAATGAATTGAATGAATGCAGAATGCAAAAAGAAGGAAGAAAAGAAAAGAAAAAAATTCATAATTCAATGATGGCCACAATAACAGAAAAAAAACAAGGTTGTCGATCATCATTGAAAATATGGATCGATCGATCGATCGATCGATCGTCATTGAATTATTTATCTTTTACGGTTTTCATTCATTCATTCAATTTTCATTATTATTTTTCAACATCCATTGTTAAGTGTAAATAAAGGCCAAAAAGAAAATATTGAAAAATGAAAATGAGTGAAACAAGATTCCATGGCCAAATACCATTATCATCATGATAATGATGATGATGATGATGATAATGGGAATAATTTTCTTTCTTCAAGTTTTTTCGGCTCTTTAGAAATTTGATATTCATTTTGCATTTTAAAGTTTGTTTTGTTGTTGTAAAAGAAGAAAAATATTTATTCAAAAAAAAATGTGTGTGCTTGACATTTGAAATGAAATTTTAAAATTTTAATTTTTTTAAAAATTTTCAATTTTGTTGAAAAATTTTCCCGGAAACATAAATGATTGATTTATTTTTTTTTTGCGGGCAAATTTACCGATACTATTGTCATTCATAATTATTCATTATTCATCATAAATACCTTTTATAGTCAAAATAGGTGTTTGTTTAAGTTGAAATAGAAGGGGAAAAAAATGAAATTTTTACCCATATAGAAAAAAAAATGTAAAGTAAAGTTTCTTTTCGAAAAAGTTTCTGGAATTTGTCAATCATTTTTTTTCGTTTTTTTTGACATATGATATACTCTACTCTCGTAATACGAAATGATGCAGTGCAGCCATTTTCATGTTGATTCAGATTCCATAATGTTGATGGCGATCAGATTGAAATAAGAACCCCAAAACAAAACAAACAATGAATAATGCATTTCGGATTGGAGAAAAGAGAAAATTCTGTTTTAAATAAGAATATGATGATCAATCAATCATTTGATAATCCAGAAAAATGAAACAAACAAACAAAACAAAAAAATGGACAAATTTTGTTTTTGGTTGCTGTTTTTTGTTTTTTGCATTCAATCAATAAATATTGAAATAAAATGTTTTTGTTTTGTTTCTCGAAATGATGATGTTTTAGTTTGGTGTTTTATTCATATATGGAAACATGTTTATTGCATTTATTTGATGGTAATCATTCTATTTTTTTTTTTTGATCATTTCTGGATCGAAATAGATTTGAGTTGCCGGTAGATTTGTTTGATGTGTATTTTTGTTTTCGAGCAAAACAAAACTTGATGCGAAAACAAAAACAAAATGGAAATTTGGAAATCGAAAACCGAAATTGTTTCAAATGTTACAAAAGTTTGGAAAAATAATTTGAAAAAAAAGAAAGGAAATTTTGATGTTTATTGAATCAAATATTTGGTTCAACTTCAATGATGATGATGATGATGATTTTAATGATGTCAATCGAGAGTGTGTGAGTGAAAGTGAAAGATTGACTACTTTTTTTCAATTCATTTCTCGACAAACTATACTAACCAAATCCAATTTTGATAAAGTTGTCAATGTTAATGTCCATCAAAGTTTTTTTGTTTCAATTTTCTTTCAAATTGCAAATTGAAAATGGATGGCTATAGATAACCGAAAAAGTGTGAGAAACATTTACTTATTCGAGAATCACACAATTTTTTTTGAATGAAATCAAAATCAAATTTAAAAAAAAGGAGATTCTGTTTTTGTTTCAATTTTAAATGGGTTGGCAAAAAAAAAAGTTTTCGGAAAATTTTTTTCAGAAAAGTTTCCGGAAAAAAAATTCCAGAAAAATTTTTCGATCAAAAACGCCGGAGAGAGAGAGAGAGAGAGAGAGAGAGCGAAAAATATGGAAATTTGATCCGGAGCAAGTAAAAGTGACAAAAAAAAAAGTTATGGTCATCATAATAATCGATATCGGTGATCATCGATATAGTTTGACCATCATCATCGTCATCATCATCATCATTATTTGCTGTTTGGGTAGCCGCCCAAACAATATACATAGAGTATATTGTTTTCCAACGGGCAAAACAAAACAAAAAACAAAAACAAAAAAATTCAAATTTCGCATTCAAACCAAACCAAAAGAAATGAAAACAAAAACAAGAATAACATTACACAAACACACACAGAGAGAGAGAATGTGAAAGAATATTCTTCGGAAATTCAACACCTGCTTCAGAAATTCACTCCACAAATATTTACCCACACACACACACACACCGAGAAAGAAAGACCGATTTGTAGTCCAGTACAGTGTATTCTTCCAGTAATTTTCTATCAAAAGCAGAAGAAGAAGGGAAAAACGCATACAACATTTTTGATTATATGGATTTTGTTTTTTCTTTCAAAATTTTAATATGGAAAAAATTTCAATCTTTTTTTTCTGGCAGCTTAATATCAAGATAGGGGAAAAAAGCTTAAAATGAAATTTTTCTAAGAAAGAAAATTCTTTTTGAGTGTCTTCTGGGCAACCAACCAACCAACCAGAGAAACATGATAATAATAATGTTCTGTGATTATGTTTTTTTTGTAATCAACATTTGGGTATTTTGATTGTACGTTTGTTTGATTGTAAGATTAGATATTGAAATTGAAAATGAAAAGAATATTCTGTTTGTTGAAAACTGTAAATGACAACAACAGCAACCAAAAAAATTAATATAAACTTCAGAAAGTTGCTGGAAAAAAAAAGATTGCAAAAAGCTGAAAAAAAAGAAAAAGAAATTAATTTTCGACAATAAGAATTTTTCTGTTTCTGTTGTTTGATCTGAACAAACGAACGAAAAAAAAGTGAAAAGATTGCCTTTTTTTTCTAAGTAGGGTTTCTTGTTTCAATGAAAAACAAGAATTGACAAAGAATATTCGGTTATTTTCAATTTCACATTTTCATTATTATGTTTTGTTTATCTCAAGAGAATTAAACATCTTTGTTGTTGTTGTTAATATTCATGATCTTTGGATACCTACCTACCTTTCTTTTTTACTTACCTATTTCCACACAGCAAGTACTTTTGTTGTTGTTGNCACACACACACACACAGAGAGAGAGAGAGAGAGAGAGAGAGAGAGAGAGAGAGAGAGAACGATTTGTAGTCCAGTATTCTTCCAGTAATTTTCTATCAAAAGCAGAAGACGGAGAAGAAGAAAGGAAAAACGCATACAACATTTTTGATTATATGGATTTTTTTTTCTTTCAAAATTTCAATATGGAAAAAATTTCAATCTTTTTCTCTGGCGCCTTAATATCAAGATAGGGGAAAAAAGCTTAAAATGAAATTTTTCTGTTGTTCGTTTGTCAATGGAAGAAAGAAAGAAAATTCTTTCTGAGTGTTAACACATTTTGAGTGTCTTCTGGGCAACCAACCAACCAAAGAAACATGATAATAATGTTCTGTGATTATGTTTTTTTTTGTAATCAACATTTGGTTTTGTACGTTTGTTTGATTGTAAGATTAGATATTGAAATTGAAAATGAAATTGAAAATGAAAGAAGAATATTCTGTTTGTTGAAAACTGTAAATGACAACAACAGCAACCAAAAAATTAATATAAACTTCAGAAAGTTGCTGAAAAAAAAAGAAATTAATTTTCGACAATAAGAATTTTTTCAATTTCTGTTGTTGATCTGAACAAACGAACGAAAAAAAGTGAAAAGATTGCCTTTTTTTCTAAGTAGGTTTCTTTCAAAAGAAACAAAAAAAATTGACAAAGAATATTCGGTTTTTCTTTTTTTCAATTTCACATTTTCATTATTATGTTTTGTTTTGCTGTTTATCTCAAGAGAATTAAACATCTTTGTTGTTGTTTGTTGTTTGTTGTTAATATTCATGATCTTTGGATACCTACCTACCTTTCTTTTTTACTTACCTATTTCCACACAGCAAGTACTTTTGTTGTTGTTGTTGATCCCAAATGTGTTTGATTTCTTCTTTTTCTTTGATTCTGTAGGTAGGTAGGTAGTTTTTTTTATGGATTCTTTCAAGCGTTTTCATGTTTTTTTCGGGGTTAAAAGATTTTTCGATGAAAAAAAATGATGAAAAATAGAATCCTATCAAGTGAAAAAAAAGAAAAAAAATTCGATGAATATCATTTTGCAATCAGAAAAAAAATGGAAAGGAAAGGGTTATGTGCTGTTTAATAGAAATCGTTCATCTCCTGTTGTGCGTGTGTGTTAATTCATTCGTATTTTTGCTTTTTTGCTTTCGCCTGATTATATTTTCCATTTGAAAAATGAGAAAATTCAAGCCTTTTACCAAGTCATCTTTTGATGGATTTTTTTTCTCTCTTTCTTCATCTCCAACCACTTTCAAATTCATTAGATTCTGGGAGAAAAATTCGAAGTGAGAGAGAGAGAGAGAGAGAGAGAGAGAAGAATATAGAATTAATGTTGTTGTTGTTGTTCGTTCGAAAATAAATGGAAACTTTTCATCAATTTTTTTCTTTTCTTTTTCTTTTCGAGTTTCGGTCGATCGATTACATTGAATTCATTTCAATTCATTCAATAAAATTGAATTTGATTTTCTGATTTTTGATTTTATCGATATTATTATTGTAGAATCAATAAAACAATTATTATATGATGATTGAATCAAAGTTTAATCGATTTTTTTTTTCGTTTTAATCAATTCTTTATGGGAAATTTTTCTGGAAATGAAATTTTCTTGTTTCTGAGAAATTTTCTCACATTTTTGTTTCCTACCGGAATTGAACAATTTTTTTTCTCATTAAATTTCATTGTTTTCATCATCATTAAAAAATGATGAAGATGCAACGACGATGACGGCAACAAAATACTGATTGCAGGTGAAAAATTGAACCAAAAGAAATTAGAGAGCAGAACCAGAAAAAAAACATCAATAATATTGATTCTAAATTCATTAAATCATAAGATTTTACCTGGGAAATCTAAATATAACCAAAGGAAACAAAAATAATGAAGGATTTTCTTTCATTTTCATTTTGGTCCAAATATGTTCATTTTGGTGAACAAAAAAGATTTCGTTTCGTTTAATTTGGTTTAGTTTCTTGTTTTGTTTTGCTTTTCTTATGTCTCACAAGTTGTTGCCCGTAAAGTTTATTTTAATTAAGTTAAATTTCCGGTCAAGTTTGCCGTTGAAAAAACTCAACCAAACCAACTAAATGACAAAAAAAAAAAAGAAAAAAAAAGATTTTTGAAATGAAAATGAAAAATGTCACAAACTTTTTTTAAAAGATTTTTTTTTCATAATTATCATCCTTTGACTTTTGGGAGATTCATTGCCATCCACCAACATTCATTAATGTAATTAAATTATGAACCAATTTGAAGCGAAAATTTCATTTTTCGTTCCAGAAAAACGCAAAACAAACGGTATTCAACTAATTTGACAGGTTTCGATCTTTCATTTTTCATTTGGCGATCATATTTCACTTGAAAACCAAAACAAAATTATTATCGATAATTATTAATGATATTCGATATTCATAAAACAAAACAAAACAAAAAAGTCGAAGTTGAAATCAATATCAAATGTTGGGAATATAATACATACATTAATCATGATAATTAATTTTTCGTTTAGATTCCTAATCAATCTAAATTAGATTAAAAGATATATTTTGATTGATTGATTGGGTAATAATTTGCAATAAGTAAATACTCATTGATCAAATTGAAAAAAATCAAATTGAAAATCAAAAAATCCCAAATCAAAAAATCAAAACAAACAAAACATTCGATAACGTCATTTATGAAAAGCAATTCGAATGTTTTTTTGTTTTGTTTTTGTTTTTCCTGCTCAATTCGTTCAACCAGCAAAAAAGAAAGAACATTCGACATTAACTTGTTAACATTTTTTTTTTTGGTTTTCCTGTTTTCCATTCTTAAATTCAAATATAAATAATGATGATTATGGTGATTGTTGTTCGTCGTTCGTTCGTTGTTCGTTGTTTTGGGGGTGAAAAAAAGCAAAACGAATAACGAAATACGAAGAAAATCATCATCATCATTATTTTATTTTTGGTGAAAGAAAATACATTTATCTCTAAATGTAGTTTTTACCATTATCATTATTATTACTTGTATAATAATAATGATCATCATCATCATTCCAATTAGAATAATTGCAAATTTGACCATTTTTTTCTGAATTGTGAATGTTCGGGTCTGGCATGGGTCTGGTCAATGAAGAAGAAGAAGAAGAAAAACCCGGTGGGAAATATCGTACACAATTTTATCAACCATATGGTTTAGGTAATGATAATCAACATTGATCATCTTTGTTTTTCTTCTTCCTATCAAAATAATGACGACGATAATAAATTCATTCAATTCTTTTCCGTAAATGTGTGTTTGGAATGTGTTAATGCAAAATCATCAAAAAAATGTTTGAACGAACGAATGATGATGATTGAGTGAAAAGATATATGCTGTAATAAACGCCATAGGCAACTTGATGCTTGATGATCATTTAACACTTAATTACTTCATCATCATCATCATCTTGATCATGATTTGATTTGAATTACAGAATTTTTTTTAATTACAAATTTTCTTTGTTTTTTCGTTTTTCTCAAAAAAAAAAATAGAAACAATGATCTGGCAAATTTGGAAGCACAACGTGCATATCGTATATCGGTACAATTGGGTGTACATGCATTTCAAGAATATACTTATAAAAAAATTACAGCTTGTGATGTTTGTCGTGAAATATTACGTGGTATGTGTTCATTTTTTGAAATATTTTGTATTTTGTAAACAAAAAAAACATTGATTTGATTCAATTTTTTAACCAAAATCCAAATGAAACAATGAAAAGGCCATTCACGACAAGGACTTAAATGTAAATTATGTAAAATAAATGTACATGGACAATGTCAAGAGAATGCACCAAAATGTCAGGTAAGTTTTTTCATTTTTTTTTCAAAATACTTTTCCGAAAACTTTTTTCTGGAAAATTTCCATGTTTGTTTTACCAGGGAAAAAAAGGGTTTTTTTTCCAATTGAATCAATCTATTTCGGGATGAAAAACAAAATTCTCGATATTCATTTAATTTAGCTCGTTTTTTCATTCATTTTCATTGATTGTTTTTCAAAAGAATATCAAAATCGAACGAGAGATTATCACAATAATGAATTCCAAAGAAAACAAAAGCCAACAACAACAAAAAAAAGCCAACAATGTGCCAAATAATCAATATTATGTAAATCAATAGACAAAAGCAAAACAAAAAAAAAATCCAATAACCAAATCAAACATTCTATTATTTGAATAATATTGTGTAATAATGTTTACGCGCAAACAAACGAAATTACCTCTATATTTTTATTTGTTGTTGAAAATATTTTTTTATGGCTTCCATATTCAAATCAATTCAAATTTATTGCATTCAATTTAGCTATTTTTTTGTTTGTTTCGCCATAAAAAGAAAGGATTTTGAATTTTTTTGTTTAGTTTTTTTTCCAAAGGATTTTTTCGATATATTTTTTCTCGAAAAAAATCCAAATTTTGCAAAGTTTACATTTGCAAAATAACGAAAAAACAGCAAAACGAAAACAGACAATATGAATGAATGAATGAATAATATTTATAAAAGTAATAATTATATATAATGAATAATTAAATTATAGTCATTATTTTTTTTTTATTAAAAGTATTAATAAGATTAAAATTTTGATTAATTAAATTAATTATAATGAAAAATTTCCATTAAAATTTTTTCTTTTGGTTATTATCACTCAACTGTCCTATCATTTATGAATGATCCAAGGTTTCAGGAAAGTCAGAATGAAATAAATAAATATTTTAACAAATAAGTCAAACTCGAATAAAGAAATGAAAATGAAAAACTTAATTATATTTTATATAAAATGAAAAGGAAAAAGAAAAAGTCATTGACATTTTTAACGAAAATCTAATTTTCTAGCAACGACAACATTTCCAGCAAAAATTGTATACTGCCATTCTTATAATTCCGGAAATTTATTCTACGGTTTTTTTTATTTCGGAAATTATACGGGTGAACGGAATGTTTTTGTTGTCGTTGTTGTTGACAATCCCTTTTCATACCCGCACTTGATGTTTACATTTAAAATTCTTTTTTAGGCCTATATGGAACGGATGTCCAGTTCAGTTCATTATGTTCATATACACAATATGGATGTTTTATTTGTTTATTTTATTTTATTTTTTGTGTTGATTTGATTTAAAAGTGTGAAAAAAAATTTCCCTCGGAAAATGATGACGTTTGTTTGTTTGATAATTTCAACAGATCAGATTAGTTTAGTTATGATGAAAAAAATGTTTGCTTTCCTGCAATGCATTTTTTTAAATAATTTTTTTTTTGACTGTCCAGAAATTTAATGCCAAAATTTTTCTTTGTTGTCTATCCAATGCAATCGAAATATCATGGCATTAACTTTCCGAACGATTTTGTAATATTGAAAAAAAAGATTATTTTTTTCGTTGTTTGTTTTCTCGAACAACAAAATCCAAAATTGAAAAACAACCACGGATAGAATATTTAATCAAACAATAGGTAATCAATACTTTATTTATGGTTTTACGATGATGATGATTAGGAAAGAGGATTCCAGATCGATATAATCGATTATCATCATCTGATTATATTATTGCGTGAAGTTTTGTTAGTTTTATTCGAATATCGATTCAATTTTCTTTTTGTCTTTCTCGGTTGTTATTCGATACGATTATTTGTTGAAAACAAAACAAAACTTTGATAACAAATAACAAAATGGAAAACAGAATTTTTTGTTTGGATTCCATCAAAAAAAATTGAGCTTTTGAATTTTTTTTCCCAGGAAATATTATTTGTCGAAAACACAGGCAATCAAGAAAGAGAGAGAGAGAGAGAGAGAGAAACGATTTCAAAATTCTTAATCAAATATTGATCAGGTATTGTTATTGTGTGTTGTGTTTGCCTTTCTGATCTTCCCTTGCGATCATATTTTTCCACTGTTTTTCTCAAGTAAATCTTTCTGCGAAAAATTCAATTCTCTCTTTTTTTTCAATTAAGATTTCTTTGAAACAAATAAAAATTTTTTTGATTTTGTTCATTTTCTTTTGTTTTTGCTGCTTGTTTTGTTTTTCTTCTTCTTAAATATTTGTTGTTTTCTTTTAATTGGAACGTTTTTTGTTGTTGTTGTTGTTGTTGTTGTTGGTATTTCTAATCCAAATGTCATTTGCCTACTTACAACAATCACTGATCATTAGCCAAAAGATTTTTTTAAAAAAAGTTTTATTGAATTTAAACAAATTCAAGGTTTTTCCCTTAAGTTTCTCATCACATGATTCACATATGAGAATTGAATCGTTTTGTTTTGTTTCAAAATTCACCCGTTTTTGTTTTAAAAAAACAAACAAAAAACATTGAATCCTTGCAAAAGAACTTGTTTGCTTTGTTCTTTATCATCATCATCATTTTTTTGGCTTTCCAAATGAATTAGTAGCAAAGAAGAAGAAAAAAAGTTTCAAAAGAAAAAGTTTTACACACAAAAAAAAACAAATTATTCCCTGGTTAAATACAGGTAAAGGTAAATATTATGTTTGAAAGGGTTTGTATATAAATATTTTTGCCAAACCATATGCTGCACCGTAAAAAAAAGTTTCTTCTTTCGGCAAACAAGAAAACATTTTTCTTTCTATGAATTTTGATAATGATGATATCCGATGAATAATTATTTTATCAATGAATTTTAATTTTCTTTCGTTTCTGTTTTTCTATTTTAGCCTAAACCACGTTTATTACGTAAACAAAAATCAGCATCCGAATTGGAAACCAAAATTACTATACCACAAATTGATGATGAAAGTAAGTTTCTTATTTTTTTTGTTTCATTCTTAAAATTGAAATTTTTTGAATTTCTTGAAACTTTTTCACACTTGGCACTGATGATAATCCAGATTTTCTGATGGTCAGTCTGGTTCATATTTTGTTGTTTTTCTGTGCGAGTGTGTGTGTTTGACAACATTGAAAGTTTTTTTTTCTTTCCATCAACACTGACAACAAAAATTCCCGAAAACACATTCAACATTTGTTCGTTTTGTTTTGTTTGTTTGACATTTATTTCATTTATAAAAGAAATTCAACAGAATTCAATGAAGAAAAAGAAAATTCAAACACACACACAATTTTTTTGTTTTGTTTAATCTGTCAAAAAAAAAATCTAGACAATTTCGACCCATGTGACAAAACAGAAAAAAAATTCCATTTTTTTTGGAATTTTGAAGAATCCCCGGAATCCATAACATTTTGAAAATCATTATTATAATGATTTCTCTCTCTTCAGTGATAAAATAAGGTGGATTTTTTTGCACTCAGAATGATCTGTAAACACTGTTGTTGTTTTTTCCCCATCAAATACACGGTAGCCCTGAAAAACCATTAAAAATAATTATTATGATAACCAGTTATTACAGATACTGGTTTGTTGTTGCTGTAAATATTCTATTTTCCGATAAGGGCGTTTTGTTTTTTTGATATTTTCATAAACAATGTTATCATAACAATGTAGTTGTTTTTTTTGAAATTCCAAAGTTCATCATATTTTCATTTTTTCCATTTTTAAAAAGAAAAAACCATAACAGTTTTCTGTTGATCCGATGAACTAGAAACGAAACTTTTATGAATCTTTTTTCCATGTTTTTTTTTGCTTTGTTTTGATTCGGACATCACACACACACACATAGAGCAAAGCAAAATTTCCCTTAAAATGTAGATTGTTTTTTTGTTGTTTGGATATTTGAATAAAATATTAAAAAAGAATATTCCAGCTACCAGCTATCATGTTGCCTACCTACCATGTCGACTAAGCTAATAAAAAAATAAAGAATCTAAATAGGAAAAAAATGTCTTTCTCTCTCCCAGCGAAAAAACAACAACATTATATTCTGATTCACTGGTATAACCATTATTTCGTGTTTGGTCATAATATTATTATTATTGTTTTTTTCATTATCGTTATGTGTTAATGAATTTAACGATCACCAAAAAAAAACCTATGATGGTGGTTCATTCATTCATTAATCAAGTTGAAATAATGTGACATTTTTTTTGGTTCATTTCATGTTTTCCGTGTCAGTGTGTGAGAAAACCAAACCAAAAGAAAATTAAAGATTATTATGGTTTCTGGTTAGTTAAAAAGTAAATATACAAACAAACAAAACACCGACTGAGAATTCTTTGGTTATTCGTGTTTGTTTGTTTGACCATATATCTTTCTTTTGCACATCACCCTCCTCTTGATTTATTCTTGTTTGTTTGTTTTTGGTCGGTTGGTTGGTTGTTTTGGTTACAACAAAGAATATTCTTCTTTGTTGTTGTTGTGTCTACACAGAATTAATCAATTTTTCCTTTGTTTTTTCTCCTTTCTCCCTTTTCTCTTCTGGTTCCAAATTCCAATTACATTTTTAATAGAATATCAAAATTATGATCCTGTTTATCAATCATTACGTGCTGCTGCTGATGCACGTAAATGTGCACAATTAGTTACTGAACATTATTCAAATTATAACAGTAGTAGTGGTAGTAATCAACAATCAATTAATCATCATAATTATCATCATCATTCATCAACATCGAATATTAATAATCCAAATTCTGGCAGTAGTAGTGGTGGTGGTGGTGGTAATCATAATAAACATTATCATTATCAACATCAACATAATAATAATAATAATCAAGATTCTGGATCTGGTAGTGGTAGTTCGGGTTCAATTTCAATTAAACAAAATTATAATAATAATGGTGGTAATCGACAACAAACACATCAACAGCAGCAAGGTAGTAATGATAGTCTTCAAACAGGTAGCCAAACAAATTTAATACATGGTCAGCAACCGCATCGTCAAGATTTATCTTGTCAACAACAACAACCATCATCATTATCAATAAAAATGACACATCGTAATTCAGATTCAGAATTTCATCAATCAACAATTGAATATCATCAACAACAATATGGTTCAATGATGATTAAACAACAACAATCAGATTTACAACGTTATCAACAACAACAACAACAACATTATAATAATATTAGTGGTACATCATCAATAAATAATTCAAATGAACAATCACCAATGTTAACAAATCGTACATTACCAAGTATTGCCTATTTTAATACAAATGGTGGAAATAGTAATTTAATTAATAAACCATTGTCCATTGTTCATCAACAACAACAACAACAACATCCATCATTATTAATGATACAACAACAACAACAGCAAGCATATTCAGCACCACATAGTCCACAGAAAAAAAAATTAACATTACGTATGAAAAGTTTAAGTTTAGATAGTCCAGAATCGGCTGAAACATTAAAAGAAAAACAACGAAATTTTTCAACACCACCAATACCACCAACATTACAATTACCACCGCCTATTAATCATCATCCACATCATCATTCACATCATTATCATCAACAACAACAACAACTTTTACGTCGTGATATGATAATCAATATAGCCGATCCATTAACACAACAACAATCAAACTTATCATCACAGCCATCTACAGCAACAACAACAACAACAACATCATCAATAACATCGACAACATCATCATCAACAACAACAGCAGCAACATTACCACCAACAGTTGGTCTTGTTGGTCAATCACCAACACCACCACGTTATGATTCAAATGAATTGATTAATCATTATTCAACATTTAAATGTATGTTAATTATCTAAAACAACAGCAAAACCAGATCTAAATAAATTATCTAGATAAAGTAATCGAATAGAGGAAAAAAACGAGTAAAAGTTTGAAATTTATGATGAATAATTTAGTATTGGTAAATTGCGAAACCAAATTTTTTTCAACAAAAAGAAAAACCTCTGGTTCTCATTTTTCCGATATTTAACCCCATATCGATCATTCATTCATATATCTTATGATAAATGGCGAAAAATATCAAATAGTTTTTTTTATCGGTTTTAACTTGATCCCGTTTTTTTTTGCTGAAAAAAATAAATAAATTAGTGATGATGATGATTGATCACGAAAAGAATTTTTAATGAACATTTTCAAATATAGGCCCAGGCTAAATGTACTAAATTTTGATCAAGCAAAACAAAAAAAGGTGTAATCTTGTTTTTTTTTCTCGGTTAGTTCGTTAGTTCGTTAGTTAGTTATCAACAAAAATGTACAGAATATTCTATTAATATATTCTGTACATTTTGTCATCATCATCTGGGCAGATTCCATCATCAAAAATAATAACGATAATCTTTTTTTAGATTTTTTTTTGTTAACCCCAGAACCAAACCATTACGCGTTAAATTTTTTTTACTTTTATTTCGCATTCATTCATTCATTTGATGATAAACTTTTTTTTTCTCTATCATCTTTGGACAACACACTATCTATTTCATTATGAATAGTTTATCTTTATAAATTATTGATTATAATCTTGTTGTTGTTGTTATTATTTTCTATTTTTATATATCAAAAATAATGATAAAAACTTCATCATCATAATTATTTTCGGTTTTTTTTGGACAAATTTGAAAATCTTTTTCAACCCAAACCAAAAAACTACTGTCATTTCATTTTGAATTTGGATGTCGTCCTGTTCGGATCATCATCGTGGATTTAATTTACTTTGTTTTGGTTTTGGTTGTTGAAAATTTCTGAAATTTATCGATACTATCGATTACTATCAGCAGCAGCGGCAGTAGTACCATCAGCAACAACCGCATCAACAACATCATCCATCCAGCCGCAATCGCAGCAGCCACCACCACCACCTCCTACATCTAATCAACAACAGCCGCAGCCGCAAACAATATCGCAACCATCATCACTTCCTATATCATTAAAACAACAATCACAAACACAACCATCATCAACCGTATCAACACCACCATCATCAAATCAATATTGTCAAATGACAAAACGTTTTAAATTAGGAATACATGGTCGTATGCGTTCATTTGAACGTGATGATCAAATATTTATACAGGATTTACAATGTTCACCATGTCCATCACCGGTAAATATTAATATATTTTCATTCGTTGTTTTTCTAACCATTTCCTAATCATTATCATTCTGTTTTTTTTCATTCAAAAACATAGAAACCACAACGTTTATTACCAACCAATATATTTGTTGTATTATATAATTTTCGTAGCCGACAAATTGATGAGCTTAATCTAAGGTAAAATTAGATCACAAAAAAAAGTTTAATGATTTTCAATGACGTTTAAATTAATGCAAATTATTATTATTATTATTGCATATTATTAGAGCTGGATATATGGTAACTGTTGTCGATACAACCGACCCGGAATGGTGGCAAGGAAAATGTATGGGAAAAGTTGGTTTTTTCCCATCAAAATATGTAACGAAATTATTTCCTGGTGAACGTCCATTACAAGTAATACATACTGTTCAATTGACTGATGGTGAATTTGCAATTAAATTACTTCGTGAACAGGTTTGTTCTATTACTGAATAAAAAAAAACTTTTTAATTATTCTCATCATTATTATATTTTGATCAAATTCAAATTAGCCCAAAAAAAACATTTTTGAATAATAATTTTTTCATTTTCACAAAAATCTTTAGATTGTCATTCAAGTATCGGATGAAATGAGTGGTATTATTATGGTACGTACTGGCCAAAATGATAAAATTGTACCATGTCCATCGAAATATCTTCAAGAGATAACATTTTGAACGAGAATGAGATTAAACCAAACACCAACCAAAAAACTAAAAAAACACAAACATCATCTATAGAAATCTTTATCATCATCATCATCATCATCTTCAGCCATTTTGTGAGCTTATTCAATGGAAAAAAAACTTATTTACTTCATACAACAACTACCACTAATCGATAATTATAATGAATTCAAAACAAACAAACACAAAACACACGAACACAGATCTATTTTTATCTACTTTTTAAATTACAAAATAGGCTAAAATTGTTGAAAAGAATACCAAAGAAAAATTATTTATTTTATTTTATCTGTCAAATACATACACCAATATATATTTTTTCTGGACAAAAATCAATGCTAACACTAATTGATCAATCAATCAATCAAAAAAACAAAGTAATGAACGACTTTTATTTTTATTGTGGAAATTTGGTAATGAACGAAATAATCGATTGTTATTATTTCCTGAAATGATATGTTCTTTTTTGTTTTGTTTTGTTTTGTTTGATGTTTATTGATTGTTGAATTTTGTTTTTTTTCTCGTTTCGTTTTGTTTTGTTTTTTGTTTTCTATGGATTCATTTTATCAATTTTGATGATTAAATCATAATTTTTTTCTGCTTCTTCTTGCCCAAATAATAATATTATTCACACGACAATTAAATTTGTTCGGGTTTTATTTCGATTCT